TAACATCATGGAAGGGTGTTGGGAAAAAGTTAGCTGACCTAAATGACTTTGGAAAATAGTTTTTGGAGTGGTTATTATAAGGCAAAAGGTAAAAAGAACTACCAATAAACACTCCAAACTATTTGGTAAATTTGTTTTTGAGAGGGTATACATAGCTTATCATTTTTTATACTACTTTACTTATATACTGAGGTTGAAAAAATAAGTAAATAAATTATCAGGGAAGTTAAAAACAAGCCATGGAAGAAAGTTAGAATGAACCCTACAGTACAAATTAGAAAAAGATAGGAGTATGAATTAATGTTTTATTCATATATACACATATGTGGATATGTACATATATACATGTGCACATGTATTTTCTTACAATAATCTAAAATTGTCTAGCCTAATAGTTTATAGTTAAATATTTTTAAATATACATATTATTAAATAATTTATATATATCAATATTATTAAATATAATTTACTTATTAAATGCAATGTATATATTTAATAAATATATCTTAGTAATGTGTATATATAAATGCCATTAAAATAATCTATAATTTTCTGGCCTAATTGTTTATATAGTTAAATAATTTTAAATAGATATGGATATATAAAATAAATATACATATATATTTTAAATGATCAAATATAATTTGTTTATATATTAATTATAATTTTATATAATTAGTATTTCATAAATGATTTATATATTTAGTAAATATATGTGCATACAAATATGCATATGAATTTATAAATTAGGTGAATTAGAAATGAATTTATCTCTGTGTGATTAAAATTGATTTAAAAAATAACATGACTTATTTTTAATTTAATATTTATGCCTTTAAATTAATTTAAAATTTTTAAGTTTTAAGGGGGAAGGTTTAAATCTTCCCCAGGTGAGTTACATCTAAAAGTCTGAGATATTTAAGAAGGGTAATGTGTGGTGTATTATACTAAATAATAATACTAATACTGTTAGATTTTTATAGAGTGTCTTTTCATTATTATTCTCTTTTAATGGAAATTTAAAACAGTTATCTTTAGCACTAACTTTTGGAGAATAGAGCCATGTTTAGTAATTATATGATAATTTATCAACTTGGAATATCTAAGCAAAATCTATTTGACCATTTCTGTAATAAAAACAGCTCTGAAAAATATTACTTTAAATTATGATAGACAACTGGAGATCTATTTTTATAATATGCTCAGCTAGAATTAGTTAAACTGCCTGCCATCTATAATAATAAAAGGATAATATGCTAATTAGACAGGACATCTTTGCGGAAGTCCTTCCTGATGAAACCAGGGCCAGAGGGAAGCCAGCCGGGTCCGGGTATTTGTGGGTGCCCCGGGGGAAGCCAGCCCATGTCCAGGGTGCCTGTGGGCAGCCGGAGGGAAGCCGGTGCTGGCAGCCAGGGAAAGGAAGGCCTACTCTTGCACGAATTTTTGTGCATTGGGCCTCTAGTCTTCAAATAAAGGAAAATAGACTTATTCACTATAATTAAAGTATTATTAATTTGAAAATCTTACAAATAGGGTGATTGTTTTTTGTGCAAAATTATATGTTAGAGGCCCAGTGCATGAAATTCATGCACAGGTTGGGTGTGTCCCTCAGCCCAGCCTGCATCCTCTCCAACCTGGGACCCCTCGAGGGATGTCCAGCTGCCCATTTAGGTCTGATCCCTTAATCCAGAACTGCTGGCTCCCAACCACTTGCCTGTCTGCTTACCTGATTGTCCCTAACCCCTTCTGCCTGCCAGCCTGATCACCCCATAACCACTCTCCTGCCAGCCTGATTGATGCCTAACTGCTCCCCTGCTGGTCCGATTGCCCCTAACTGCCCTCCCCTGCCAGCCTAGTCACCCTAACTGCCCTCCCCTGCAGACCTGGTTTCCCCCAACTGCCCTCCCTTTCAGGCCTGGTCCCTCTCAACTTCTCCCCTGCTGCCAGCCTGATCACTCACAACTGCCCTCCCCTGCTGACCATCTTGTGGTGGCCATCTTGTGTCCACATGGAGGCAGCCACTTGTGTGTTGGAGTGATGGTCAATTTGCATACTACCTCTTTATTATATCGGATAATGCAAAAATTTATTTTTATTATATAAATTAATTCACATAGCTCTATTGTATTTCATAAAATACTTAACAAAACCTACCATCTCACTGATAATTTCATATATTGCTGAGAACCAATGAATGAATTTGGACTGTTTTTCATATAGTCAACTATTATACTAAGGAGACTGTTGGAAAGCAGGCACATTTTCCTAATTTAAAATAGCTCTATATATCAAGATTTATTTATTTATATTAAAAGAGAGTAAGTACCTTGAGCAGTTTTCTAATATTCTTCATTTTTCAGACGAAGGGAGTGTTAGAAAGTCAGGAAAAATTACAGGGCTCTTTTTGATGAGCAGTCACTTGTTTGGCCATATCAGGGCTCATATCTTATCCCCTCCTCCCATGCCACAGCCCTCACACTCTATAGCCCTGTAGGCGCTTGAGGACCTTGCTTTAGCTCTATGACCACCATGTGATTCTATTTGTCAGTGTCCATGACTATAGGTGGTTAAATATTTTGAACGTAAGCCCTAAGGAAGAAAAAGGATGTTTTCTATAAGATACTGATATATTGATGGATTTCCTATCTTTTTGTTTAATTTCTTTGATAGAATATTAACAAAAAGCTTCTTTATAAATCCCATATATATGCTGCAAGAATGTCAAATTAAATTAAAATATAGTCAACAAGAAAATATACCTTAGCAAGATTTACCATGAACTATCTATTTGTGTCTTTACTCTTTGTACAGACAGAAAAAAAAGGCCTTTCTTTTTCTTTGCTGTAGCCATCCACAATTTATGAGAAGCACCTGGTAATTAAGCCCCAGGATTGTTAGCTCCTCTGACTCAAACAGCTCCTCTGTTCAAACTGCAAGACAAGATAAGCTACTCTCAAGGCTACATTCTTGTACCCCTTCCTCCCTGCTGTTTTCAGAACTCAGGGATAAATAACACCAAGAAGAATGTTCTCTTCCTCCTGCCCTTTCAAACAAGCCTCCTTTGAACTCTTTATAACTTTTGGTCTAAGCATATTTACAGGCTTGAGAAAATACTGATAAGACACCTCCCTAGGACATCTGCCAGACTCTCTCCTGGAAAGCAAACAAACTATATTTTCAAGACAGACCCTGATTACTGCTCAACTTCAGTAATGACTAGCAATAGCAGCCATTACTCTTTAATTGGGAAAGCCACTTTTTGTTTCTTGCCCTGTATTGATTAGCAATACTTGCCCTTTCACTTTTTAGAAAGTAAAATAAACTTCCTCTATGCATCTACCTCTTCTTTAAGTTATTAATTCTTCCACAGACCATGTCACTGGCCAAACCTTAACTCTTTTTATTCATCAATTAAAGTATTCACTTATTTAATTTACTATGATTTGCAAATTCTTCAGTTTTATTAGGCTCAGAATATTACAATGAGAAGGATAGGGTCAGAGAGTTCTGTGTTAATTCTGAATTTGCTATTCACTAAACATAGTATTTTCTTACCTATCGATAATTATAATTCACAGAGTTTTTAGAGTATGAGAAGATATGTAAACTAAGTCACAAATAGCTACTCTATCCATAACTTTTAGTGTTTGAAACAGTAAACTTGATAATGTTTGTAAATAATAAGCACCTGGCACCTAATATTCATTTTCTGGTTTAATCTCTTGTAAAGTTCAGTGTAAACTTTCATATTTTTTAGACATCAATTCATGTGTTCATAATGTTTTCTTTATTTTTTTGATCCTTAAGTAAGTCTTCTGTTTATATACTATATCTGAGTGCACTGGTAAGAAAATTATAAACAATAATAAATAATGGCAAGAGCAGAATAATTTTGTTCATGCTTACAATGAGAATATTACATGCCAGGTAGTATATTTATTACTGTGCAGTTGAATTTATCAATTTCTATTTCAATTAAATTTAGGGTGCTTCCTATTATCTTTTAAATGTTGGGATTATCCTTTGTGAGTACAGGGAGAACATTGATTTTAAGGTCATTATAATTTCCTACATTACTCACAAAATTATAGAAATCTTTAATGTGAATCTCTCATCACCCAAGAGTTTCAAAGTAATTAGAAATTTTAATATAAATTGAAGGTCATTTTCACAATATTCAATGCTACATCTTTTATTATCATGTCCTGTGCCAAAAGACCAGGTTTATAGTGATCACATAGATGGAATTTTAATTTTTTAATGTGCATGCAGAAAGGTGGTCTGATAAATATTATTTTAGTAGTGCTGAGGCAAAGGAATATTGGATCATTTTATTGCCATTAACATTTTCTGAACATTCTAAGTTTATATTAGACAACTGGATAGCAGATGGATAGGAGAAAGACATATCTTAAAGATTATACATAAATATTGTTATAAAATAGAATGTAAGAGAATAAATATCAGGGAGGACTAATGAATACAGACCCAAAAGATAAATCAATTTATGTATCCTATAAAATTCCTTTAGTTATTTATTTCCAGAAAAAACACTCCTCATTTATTATTTCTGTGCCAAAAAGTCAGCTAATTTTAGTTATAAATAGTATTGTTCATCTTACTATAACATAAACTATGACATATAACTACAGAGAAATGGCTTCACAATTAAAATCCTGTGATTAATGTCAAAAAGAATTCTCCTAACTTTGCCTTCATATAAAACAGTTCTTATATTTATCTGTCATTTTTCTATACTTCTAGATCACAATATGATAAAATATATATATTTCAAATATATTCCCCTTATTTATAAAGCAGTGAAACTTCAGATTCTTAATACATTTAGTTACTTGTGTTTGTTTTGTTATTGTTTTCGGTTGGGTTTTTTTGTTTGTTTTTTGTTTTTTTAGAATCCAGCTGGATTTTGACACGGAACACAATAGGATTGCAGGAATAGCAAACTGAAACGACAAAGCGGAAAAGACCCAGTTCTATCCAACTTACAATTAAGTAACAGGAGGGCAAGTCATTAAATGAGTAACAAAACAGTTGAGCTTGATGGAGAATATTCTTTTTCTAGTGCTCATGCTTTTGGAATTCCCACTCTCTGTTGTCCAGCGGACACACCTGCCGTGTTTTGAGCCAGCGAGAGATGCAGTGTAAGTGAAAAGCATGATTACAGACTCCCCACGCAATGGTGCACTCTTCTGAAGTGGCAGATACCTGGTTCGCCTGACATTCTATGCAAAGATCCATAATGCGGTTCCTGCAGATGGCACAGTTATCAACCTCAACGTCCCAGGTGCAGAGGGCTACTGCGTTCCAGTTTGTCACTTCAAAGCGCTTCTTGCCCTTGCCGCTGTTGGTGCCGCTCGGGGTATCCACATCCGTCGCTGCCGCCATACTGGAAACACGGTCTCAGGTTCCACTTGTTTTCTTTTTATATTGTTTGCCTTTGATGAGTATAAAGTGGCCTATTGCATAAGTTGAGATCATTTTTAAATTCAACAAATCTATTTGAAGCATCAACATGCAAGCATTGTGCTTATTCCAGGTAAGTGTCATCCACTGTAACTGACATTAAAATGCTATGTAGAAACCTATTTAAGCACAGGAGCTTTTAATATACTGACCAAATGGATAAATAACTATACTCATTAATAAACACAAAACATTAAAGTTATTTATCATTTATCATTGGGAAAGAAGTTTAATTCATTATCCTACGCATGCAACTTTTAAATATAGAAATTACTTTTTTTTAACGAATAGGTCAAGAAAGGAAGCAATATGAAGGTTTCTATAATTTTCTTAACTAATCACATTGAAAGTGAAGAATGTGAAATAATACTGCAGAGTAATGTGGTTAAGAATTGTGTATTTAGGAGACTATAAATGGAGGGGGCCTATGTGTTTGTGTGCATGTGTGTGTGTATGGGAGAGGAGAGGAGAGGAGAGGAGAGGAGAGGAGAGGAGAGGAGAGGAGAGGAGAGGAGAGGAGAGGAGAGAGAGAGAGAGAGAGAGAGAGAGAGAGAGAGAGAGAGAGAGAGAGAGAGAGAGAGAGAGAGAGAGAAAGAGAGAAAGAGAGAAGAGAGAAAGAGAGAAGAAGGAGGAAGGAGGAGGAAGAGAGAAGAGAGGAAGGAAGGAAGGAAGGAAGGAAGGAAGGAAGGAAGGAAGGAAGGAAGGAAGGAAGGGAAAGAAAGAGAAAGAAAGAAAAGGAAGGTGGGCGCATCATCTGGAGCCAGAATGTCTCAGTTGGAATCTTGGTTTATCTATTTTCCAACTATGTGACTCAAAGCCAGATTCCCAAATGAAAAGTGACAATAATGTGATTTTATTTTCCTGAGGATTATTGTAATATAGTAATCTGAAGGAATAAAGGTTTATATTTTAGTACTGCCATGGAGCAAGGAAGATAGCCTGTGAAGAAACTGCATCTAAGCAATAAACAGGGAAAGGATTTTACAGGGTTTGTTTTGTGCTGGGGTTGGGGGATGGAGACATTTTGAGAATTTGAGAAGTGGCAGCAGAAATTCTGAGACTGGAGACCCAAGGACAATTTCAACAAATTTTAACAAGGCAGCCTTTTAATTATGATAGCAAGAAGAAAATGATCCTAGATAGTGTGTGTGTGAGAGAGAGAGAAAAAAAAGTTATGTATGTATATTAATCAATAATAACTCTATTTTAGGGTCAAGTGGGAATCTCTAGCAGGGATAACTGGGACTAGGAAAAACATTTTAATAACATGGAGATACAAGATAGTTCAAGAAAATATAGTTTTGGGAAATAAAGTAAATAAATGCGAAGGTCCTGGAAAATGACTACACAGCAGATGCTCAGCAAATCCTATCCTATTAATAAAGAGCTAATATGATAATTAGACCGAACAGCAGAATGACCTTCCAGAATTTGCTCCATTACACAAAGTAAGAAGTGAAAATTATCAGTAAATCAAGCCAAAACCTAATGTGCAAATTTTACTAGCATTAATACATTTTACTTTTATTTATACCCACCCATAAGCTTCTTATTCACTTGCTTGTGCTACTGATAATTTTATATTTGAATTTCATTATTTTAGAGCGTTATTATACCCTACTAGAGGCCTGATGCACGAAGATTCGTGCAAGAATGGGCCTTCCTTCCCCTGGCTGACGGCACTGCCTTTGCTCCGGCCAGAGCTGCCTTCCACCTTCACTCTGGCCCAGAGCCACCTTTCCGCCTTCCCAAGCTGCCCAGAGACTCGGAGCAGGTGGGCTGGTGCGGAACGTCCCCAGATGCTCGGAGCCTGTTTATGCAATTTAACCTGCCATCTTTGTTGGGTTAATTTGCATACTCACTCCTGATTGGCTGGTGGGCATTGTGAAGGTATGGTCAATTGGCATCTTTCTCTCTTATTAGTGCAGATTATGAACTAGAACATCTGAGTATGTTGGTACAATTACTATTTTTAAAAAAGGAGTAATTTTCTGGACCTCATCATTGTTTGAAAATATGTTGAGAGTAGGACACTAGTTGATTATATTAAAAAAATGTGAATCTAAGAACATCTTGCACATAAAACTGCCCAACAAATTTCCCTAAAAAAAAAATCCTTGAGAAAATTCTATTTAAGCACATGATCAATATAGAGAGACCTAAGTAACAATTTCATCCTATAATAATCAGAACGTTGGAAATCAAAACTACATAAAAACCTAGGAAACTAAAGCACTCAGTAGACTCTAGTTTAAAAGTTTAAGGGAATAATTAAGAATACTCTTCACTTGTAAGAAGAAAGGCTGTTATCATTGAAGTCAGACAAAAGGGGGTAAAACTGATAGTCATCTAGGGAACACAATCTTAGGGTGGGTCAATCCTTCAGGCCTGTCTCAAAAATGGGAATAGATACTGAACTGGTTTTTAACTATAACCAAAGGAGAAGAGCAACATCAAAGTTTTGGTGAGCTTTATTAACTTAAGGTCTTGAGATGACTGGGAAGACTCAAGTAGGGCTTTGAGAAGAAGTGTTGAACTTCTCAAAAGTACAACATTCTCTGTCTCTCTTTTTAAATGATAAATGGTATCCTCTTTTTAAAAAAGCTTAAATGTTATATTTCAATTACAGTTCATATTCAATATTATTTTGTACTAGAGGCCCAGTGCATTAGTTCATGCACAGGTGGGGTCCAGCCGGCCCCACCCCAGATGGGGGCGCTGATCAGGGGCATGGCCGGTAGGGGAGGGATACAAGGGAGGTTGGCTGGCAGCCACCCCCCACGATCAGAGTATGCCCCATGATCAGAGTTGGGGGGGCAGTATCCGGGGTGGGGCCAGCTGGGGGGAGGGGCCACAGGTGGTTAGGGTGGCCAATCAGGGCCTGGATTGGGCTGGTTGTCCATCACAGTGTGCATCATAGAGACTGATCATTCTGGTCGATCAGTCCGCTGTTCTGGTCGCTTGGCTTTTATATATATAGACTAGAGGCCTGGTGCTCGAAATCTGTGCATGGGTGGAGTCCCTAGGCCTGGCTGGCAATCAGGGCCAATCAGGTTCCCCACCTCCCTGCCTTCTCCTTCCCTCCCTGCCCATGCACCACCACCGCGTGGTTCCCCACTTCCCTGCCTCCCTCCTTCCTCCTTCCCTCACCACTTGTGTCCACCACCACCCACCCCTGGTTCCCCATCCCAGCCAGGGTCCCAGCCCTGACTGGGGGCAATCAGGGCCTGCCAATCAGAGGGAGGAACTGGGAGGTGGGCTGGCAGGCCCCATAGGTGATTGGGGCCTGCAGGCTGGAGGCAGCTCCTGCATTGAGCATCTGCTCCCTGGTAATCAGTGTGCGTCATAGCAACTGGTCATTCTGCCCTAATAGTTGCTTAGGTTTTTATACTATAGATTAGTTTCAGGTGCACAGTATATAGACAATCCTATACTTTACACAGTGACCCCCCTCCCCACAATATTTCTGTTACCCACCTGGCACCATACATAGTCATTACACTATTATTGACTATATTCCCTATGTGTACTTTACATGCTGTGACTATTTTATAACTACCAACTGGTAGTTCTCAACCCCTTCACCTTTCAATATTCTCTTTTATTCGGTCCTTCACAGAAAAAACAAAAATACTGTCCTCAAAACTGGACAGACAGGCAGAGACAGAATTACAACTTACCTGAGCAGAAACTTCTAGGAGAACCAGTATCCATTAAGCAAGGCTAAACTGTAATTCATGAATTACTGGATACTCAGTCTAGCCAAGTACCATGTTTGAGAGTTCAAGTCTCCAGGGGTCCCACTCGCTGGGAGAACCACACACGTTTTTTGAGTTTTTCTCTAGAAACTCAGGATTTTAAAAAGATTCCCAGGTGATTTTACTGCGCAGCCAAGGTTGAGAACCACTGCTCTAGGACATTCTGACAGTGAGGTTGGAGGGAAAAAAAAAACAAACAACCAAAAAAACACTCATGCTTCCAGCACAGGGGAAAATAGCCACTTTGAAAAATGCCCAGAGCAGTTTGTTCTTCTTAGCAAGACCTGCCCTCAACATAAACCATGAACCAGAAACCAGCTTCTGGGGCTGACCAGCGCCTACCAGTCCTGCGGGGAGGGAACTTCTCAGCTCCACCCCCTCTGCATTCCAAGTGGGAGAAGGGAGCTCTCCTGAGTGGAAAGGAAAGAACCGCTGTGAAGCCTGAAGCAACACCTGAACTGTTTTTACCACTTGCTGGAGGCGCAGGGCAGACCAGTCTGAGAGGTAAACCATCCAGAGGGCCTAGCCCTAGGGAGGCACCCACAATCTTGTGACACGTACTCCGAGGGGCTCAACCAGGGGCTCACAGTAAACATAATCCTTCCATGTTTGGGGGGGGGGGCCGGGAGGGGAGGGCCGTGTATGTGTGGGGTGCTGGGAGATCATTTTGAAACACAGCTGAGCATTCTGTTCTTCACAGGGCCCGCTTTCGGGGAAACTAGTGCCCCCAAACCTGACCTGCGGGGCATGAAGATCAGAGCGCAACTGAAGGAGCACGGGATGCAACAGAGGATTGGGGGGGGGAAGGGGGGGTAGGTGGGGGGAGGTAAGAGATCAACGGAAGGACTTGTATGCATGCATATAAGCATAACCAATGGACACAAGACACTGGGGGATAGGGGAGGCCAGGGAAGGCCAAGGGGGAAAAAAAGGAGATGTAATACAGTGGGGCCTTGACTTACGAGTTTAATTCTTTCCCAGGCCAAGATCGTTAAGGAGCTCGTTCACTCAAATTACTCTGTCACCTCAAAGCAAAAAATCTGCCGAGAGACAGCTGGTATCTCAAAAAACTCGTTAGTCGGGACACTCGTAAGTCAAGGCCCCACTGTATATCTCTTTGTAATACTTTAAGCAGTAAAACAAAATAAAAATAAAACCAGTTTAAGG